TTTGCACTTCTCTGACCATTAGTGAGGTTGAACATCATTCCATGTGTCTGTTGGCCATCTGTATGTCTTCCTTGGAAAATGTCTATTTATGTCCACTGCTCATGTTTTAATTGTTTTTTTTTTCTTTATGAAGTTGAATAAGTACATTATATATTTCGGATATTAAACCCTTTCAGGTATATAATTTGTAAATATCTTCTTTCAGTAGGTTGTCATTCCATTTTGTTGATGGTTTACTTTGCTGTGCAAAAATTTTTTAGTTTGATATATTCCTATTTGTTATTTTATCTGTTGTTAACTCTTGCCTGAGAAACTGGTCCACAAAGTATTTCTAAGACCAATGTCACAGAGCTTACTGCCTATCCTTTTTCTTGAGATTTTATGGTTTCAGATGTTATATACAAGTTGTTAATTTATTTAAAAAAATTTTTTTACATTTATTTAGTTTTTAGAAACAGAGCGAGACAAAGAGTGAGTGGGGGAGGGGCAGAGAGCAAAGGAGACACAGAATTTGAAGTAGGATCCAGGCTCCAAGCAAGCGGTCAGCACAGAGCCTGATGCAGGACTCAAACCCACAAACTGTGAGATCATGACCTGAGCCGAAGTCGGACACTCAACCAACTGAGCCACCCAGGCATCCCGTTAATTTATTTTTAAAATAGTTTTGTATATAGTGTAAGATGTATATAGTGTAAGATAGTGGTTCATTCTTTTTCGTGTAGCTATCCAGTTTTTCTGACATAATTTTTGAAGAAACTGTCTTTTCCTCATTGCATATTTTTGTCTGTTTTGCCATAGATTAATTGACCATATATGCATGGATTTCTTTCTGATCTATATGTCTTTTTTTTAATGCCAGTACCATGCTGTTTTGATTACTGTAGATTTATAGTATAGTTTGAAACCAGAGAATATGATTGATACCTCCACTTTGTTTCTGTCCCCCCCCCCTCAGGATTGCTTTGACTATTTGGGATCTTTGCAATTCTATACAAACTTTAGGATTTCTTATTCTAGTTCTGTGAAAAATACCATTGGCATTTTGATGGGGGTTGCCTTGAATCTGTAGATTGTTTTGGGTAGCATGGACATTTTAACAATATTAATACTTTCAATCCATGAGCATGGTATATCTTTCCATTTATTTTCATCTTCTTCAATTTCTTTCATAAGTGTCTTAAAGTTTGAGAGTACAGGTTTTCTGTCTCCTTGGTTAAATTTAATCTTTGCTATTTTATTATTTTTGATGTAGTCATGAATAGGATTGTTTTCTTAGTTTGTCTTTCTTTCTGATAGCTGTTTTTTAGTACATAGAAACACAACCAAATTCTGTATGTTAATTTTGTATCCTGCAACTTTACTGAATTCATTTATTAGTTCTAATAGTTTTTTGGTGGAGTCTTTAGGGCCTCCTATCTATGGTATCATGTCATCTGCAAATAATAACAGTTTTAACTTCTTCCTTTACAATTTGGATGCCTTTTATTTCTTTATCTTGCCTAATTTCTGTAACTATGACTTCCAATACTATGTTGAATTAAAGTGGCAAGGGTGAGCATTTTTGTCTTGTACTTGATCTTAAGGGAAAATCTCTCAGCTTTTCACCAGAACTATTTTAATTACACTTATTTTATTTCTTCTTAAATTCCTATTTTATATTTCTCACACTACCTTAAGTAGTTTTAGAAATGGGCCAATTATAACATTCTTCCCTGCTATATAGTAGTATGTCTTTCTTATTTTATTGGCATGTTCTGGCAGAAAATAGGAATGGTGGCTCATTCAAATGGGGCAACTGGGGAAAAATTAATGAAGGGTCTATTTACAAAATACTGGAAAGGGTTACATAAGCTAACAGGGGATGATTCAGTACCTGAAGTAGTGATGTTTAGGAGCCTGAAATTTGATAGAGGTAGGAACAATTAGTAGGATTACAGCTATATGAGAGAGCCACTCCACAGAAACCATGCCTTTTGGTTGGTGTAGAGAACCAGTTAAGGTGATCTAGAAGATAAAATCTGGTGGAATAAATTCCCTGATCTTTCTATCCTCTTATCATCTTTTTTCTTACATTGTGTGCCCCATCCCTCTGTTGGCCAAACCCAACCAGAAGTCAGTCCTTCTATGATCAGTTCCCTGGGTAGACAGCATATAAAGCAGGGGGATAGATCTGTAAGTAGATGGAAAAGATCCTATACATCTGCTTAACTTATAGTTCATGATCATGAAATGTACAAGTACATTGGTTTCTCTTCTTTCCATAATCTCATTAAAATAACAGAAATGAGTTGTGAAAGCCCTAATCCCATGTTAAAAAAATAATAAGAAAGAGAAGACCATCAGTGGATGAGAGCTCTAAATGCATTTATGAAAACTTATTAGACAGAGACTAAAGATCAGAGAAACTGATGATGCAGCACAGAAAGCTTGTCCTAACTTAGCAGGAATGTGGGTGGTAAGAGAAGAGGAAGCTTGTTTACCCATGAAGACTCTTTTATTTATTTATTTATTTTTGGGACAGAGAGAGACAGAGCATGAACGGGGGAGGGGCAGAGAGAGAGAGGGAGACACAGAATTGGAAACAGGCTCCAGGCTCCGAGCCATCAGCCCAGAGCCTGACGCGGGGCTCGAACTCACGGACCGCG